CTTGGAAGGAACAGAAGCAATGCCAGAGTAGAAGAGGCCACATTCTCAGACAAGAAAAACCCTGGTTTCCAGGTAACATGAAGAGGAGGCTGTAAAGAACCTGAAATATCAAAAGGAGTGCTCTGAAATTAAGAACATAAGCAGAAGTAATGCATTCAACAGAAAAATGCTGAGAAACTGGGACAAGGATGGAAGGAAAAAGCAAAGAAGATTGGGTGATCAATTCAGAAGATCCAATTTCCAAACAAAAAGAACTTCCCAGATGAGAAGAGAGGGAACCAAAGGAGGGGGCTATCAGACACATCAGAAAATCACTAAAACGGAAGGACCCGAGGCTCCAGGCCCAACGAGCATGCAGTAATTTCTTTCCACTTGATCAGCATGGATTCTGCATACCTGGCCAGCGCAGGAGTTGAGGGCTATGGAGGGAGCCAGGGCAGGGCAGGAGCCCAGGGAGCAAGGCAAGAGCGGGGTCTGAGGGACCAGGGCTCTGGGTCCAGTGAGATTTAGGGGCCAGGAGAAGGGCAGAGGTCAGCGGCCAGAGGCGGCCCGGGTGTCGGTGGGGAGGCATAAGCTGGGGAGAACTGGAAACTGGGCACGGGAGGACTTTTGAAAGGAATACGAGGGCATGTTTGTGTGATGTGGAAATCATCCAGCAGAGACAGAAATGCCGGTATGTGGAGGAGAGAGGTGTGAATTACTGAAGCAATACTGAATGAAAAAGAACCACCAAGTCACACTGCTAAGAAGTTTCCAGAGATGGAGGATCATGAGAAGACGCAGAGAGACGGAATCGTGTTGATGTCAGGTCTGTGGGACAGAACACTGGAAGCGAAAAAAGCGATCCCTCAAGTCTGAGGAAAACCACATCCAACTTAGCATCCTGTCTCTAGCAGGCGCTCAGTCAGGTCCTCAATAAAGAGGAACTCAGCACAGATGATCTCCCATGTACCCTTTCTCAGGAAGCCACTGGAAAACTCGGGGTCCCACCTGGCAGAGAGGGATGGGCTCACCAGGATGGGAAGGCCAAGCAGAGCCTGAAGACAGGGGGACAGATGCTGGGAAGGCCTCTCCAAGGACCTCACCACGTCTTTGAATGAACTGGGAGAGGTTTTCTGTTTTTAAAGTTCCGCTAGACAGTCTGGAGTTAATGAGTCTGAGCAAACTCCAGGAGGTGGCGAAGGACAGGGAGGCTGGCGCACTGCAGGCCATGCGGTCGCACAGTCGGACATGACAGCGACTGAACAACAACAACAATGCAACTTACAAATTTGAGCAAACAGAGAGAACACATGGAACAAGTATTTTCTTCCGAAAAGATAAGAAAATGTGAAAAAAAAAAAGAAAATGTCTGTGGATTGAATCAAAAAGGTTAACTTCACTAATTTGGACGGTGAGGGGAAGTGTGTGCATGTGCCTGGTATATGAGATGCCCACTGCCACTTTACTTACAAAGCTCAAAACTGGAATTAACCCAAATGTCCACCAACTGAAGTGCTTAAGTAAATTCAAGAACATCTCTCAAAGGAATGCTCATGTATGGTTTTAAAAACAAAGCCTCACCACCCTTGCAGCCATGGAAGATATCTATTGTATGTTTTCAGGGTAAGGCAGAGAGGATAACTTACATGGGAAAACATTATGTCATTAGGTATATCTGGGACTTCCCTGGTGGCCCAGTGGTTGAGAATCTGCCTGCCAATGCAGGGGACACAGTTTCAATCCCTGGTCCAGGAGGATTCCACATGCCGCCACAGGGCAACGAAGCTGGTGCACCGCAACTACTGAAGCCAGCAGCTCTAGAGCCCGCGAGACACAAGTACTAAAGCCCGTGTGCCTGGAGCCCACCCTTTGCAACAGGAGCCATGGCAAGGAGAAGCCCTCACACCGCAACTAGAGAGTAGCCCCAGATCATCCCATGTGCACAGCAACAAAGACACAGCACAGCCAAAACAAGTACCTAAAAATTTTAAAATAGGTGTATCTGTGTGTACTTAAATGTGTAAAAATATCTGGGGAGATGGGACATGAACTGGACAGTTGGGGGTTGACTGTGTGCTTCCTTCACATATTTCTGTATTAGGTTTCCACGTGTTCTGAGCATGATTTATTTTAAAAATTAAAAAGAACATGTGTTTCCATTTTCAAGGTGGGGATTAATAAGTTAGAGGGAGGCATGTGAGAGCCAGTGGCCCCTACCTGCCCAGGATGAAGGCGATGTAGATAAGGGAGGAGAAGTGAGCAAAAAACTGCAGAGTGAAGAACTTGATAGTGAACTTGCTCTCTCGCTCTGAGAAGGTCCTGGGTTTCTCTGGAATGAGATGTGGGGCCATCCTTCCCCCATCTCTCACCCCAGTGACAACCCACGCCCAGCCTGTCCATATCCTGAAAACTCAGGGTCACCTGGGACCCTCACCTGTCCCCTAGGCAGGATGCCCTGGCCTCTCATGGGCCCCACTTCCCCACCCCAGGGTTCCAAGACCCCCACCCTGAATCCTCCCCCCGAGAAGCCCTCCTCTCACCAAAGTCACAAAGCTTCAGGGCCACATATTTGTTGATCTGCAGGAGGGGAGACAGGGCTCACCTTGGACCTGGGCAGAGCCCCACCCTGCCCCTGCACCCTCCTCTTCCCCGACCCTTACCTTGGTCATGATGAGGATGATCACATAGTGAACCAGGGCCCCGCTCACCACCACAGCTGTGGTCACCTGCTCCCCCAGGAAGGGCAAGGCTGAGTTGAAGAGGGCAGCAGCTAGGACTCGGTAGACCACCAGAACGTGGGCCATGCCGATCATGAGGCAGATCTGGGGTGGAGGCAGGATAGGCGGGGCTCAGGGGGCTGCCCCAGCTGCTCTCCAGCCCAGCCAGAGGAGCCCTGGAGTACCATCAAGAGAGACAGGAGGAGGATGATGGTGTTCCGCAGGTAGGAGTGCTGGTGCAGCCGTGGCTGGTAGTCTGGGCAGTTGATGAGCCCCAGAGCCATTTCCTCCTGTGGAAGGCACCCAACTCTTCTCAGACGCCGGAATTGTCCCTGATGCGGAACCCCGTGGCGCCTGGGACCCCCCCCCCAGACACAAGAACCTCTTGGACACTGAACCCCCTTGGACACTGAACCCACTCAGACACAGAACCCCTGGGACATGGAACCCCTCGGACACGGAACACCTTCGGACACAGGAAACTTTAAGCGGGAAGCCCTTGGACATGGAACCCCCTAAGACACGGAACCCCTCAGACACGGGACCCCCTCAGACACGGCACCCCTCGGACATGGAACCCCCCTGGACACTGAACCCACTCAGACACAGAACCCCTGAGACGTGGAACCCCTCGGACATGGAACACCTTCGGACACAGGAAACTTAAAGTGGGAAGCCCTTGGACATGGAACCCCCTCAGACACGGAACCCCTGAGACACAGGAAACTTAGACAGGAAGCCCTTGGACACGGAACCCCTCAGACACGGAACCCCCTCAGACACAGAACCCCTCGGACACGGGAACCTTAGACAGGAACCCCTCGGACATGGAACCCCCTCAGACACGGAAACCCTCGGACACGGGAAACTTAGACAGGAAGCAGGAACCTTAGACAGGAAGCCCTCAGACACGGAACCCCTTGGACACTGAACCCCTCAGACACAGAACCCCCTCAGACACAGAACCCCTCACACGGAACCCCTCAGACACAGGAACCTTAGACAGGAAGCCATTGGACACGGAACCCCCTCAGACACGGGAACCTTAGACAGGAAGCCATTGGACACGGAACCCCCTCAGACACGGGAACCTTAGACAGAAAGTCCTTGGACACGGGAACCCCTCAGACACAGGAACGTTCGACGGGAAGCTCTTGGACACGGAACCCCTCGAACTCAGCAGCCTCTCAAGGCCCAAGCTGGCCGCCGGCTCAGCCTCACCTGGTCCTCATCCCAGCCGTACAGCTCCCACCGCAGCACCACTCGGGCTCGCTCCCGCTTCCACATCTCCAGGAACACGGTGGCTGCGGCGGAAAGCAGAGGCCTCAGGGGCGTGTCCCCCTCTACGCGTGGTGCTCTGCGGGCCCCAGGTCCGCGCAACTCACCCCACAGCGCCATGAAGATGGCGAACAGCACGGTGCCCTCGTTGTCGAAGAGGTGGGTGAGCTAGAGGGAGGGGCACGTGGGGCTGGGGCGGCCTTCCCCCCACCCCCGGCCCAGGCCTCCCCTTCCCTGGGAGGACCTGCTGGGCCCGCCTCCCCAGGGCCAGTGGCCGCAGGGCCCCCCGCCCCGTGCAAACCTTGGCATAGGCGCAGGTGTCTGAGAGCCTCTGGAACCTGCGGTTATGGTCGCCACGAGGGCACATGTAGATGTCGTGGGCCTTGCAGATCTCCTTGCTAAGGGCGCAGGGACCGGGTTGGCGGCAGCACTTTCCTGTGGACCCTGGAGGGGCCCCACCCCGGACCGTCCCTTCCCTGACTCCGCCCACCCTCAGCTTCAGTCCCGCCCCTTCCCTGGCCCCACCCCATCCCCAGCTTCAGTCCCTCCCCTTCTCTGGCCCCGCCCCACCCTCAGCTTCAGTCTTGCCCCTGCCCTGACTCCGCCCACCCTCGGCTTCAGTCCCGCCCCTGCCCTGACCCCGCCCCACCCTCCGCTTCAGTCCCGCCCCTTCCCTGGCCTCGCCCACCTGATCTGGCTGGCTTCGAATCGGGAAAACCCGCTCAGGAAGACGATGAGGCCCACCACTGCGGCGGGCACCAGCATGTAGGTGTACCAGCCGAGCCAGGCGAAGTACAAGGCCACTTTCTCTCCAAAGTAGTCCCTGCGGGCACAGCGTCCCGTCAGGGCCACTCCCACCAGGGGTGACTGTCCACCGCCAACACCTGGGTGAAGCCCGCCATGCTGGAGGCAAGGGTGTACTGAGGACGTCTAAATGGTTCGCCAGACAGTTGTTTGCTGGAGGCATGGGTGTATCTACAGAGGGGCAGCCTGCCTGCGGGGGCACGGGTGTGTCCGCGAGGGCAGTAGTACCTGATATCACTAATTGGCTGCCTTTGGAACATGCTTCTCCACCGGGCCCATTTCTTCTTTAGGTGTTCCTCCCCCTGGGCACAGGTGAGACACAGTGAGAGCTTCCTGCCTCAAGTCCTGCCCTCAGGGCCTCTCCCAGCCAGCCCACCCCTCACCTTGTGCAAGGGGAACCCGTCCTCAAAGACCCCATCCTTCACCAAATCCTGGAGCGTGTCTGGTGGTCACAGGGGTTCTCGGGTCAGAAGGGGTGGGGATGAGGGAGGACCCTGTCCCATTCTCCCCATGCTCGCCCCTCCTGGAGGGCTGCGGCATAGGCCGCCTGCCCATCCAGTCCTTACCACCCGTTGCTGTCTTGCTCTTCAGGACAAAGTTGACAATTCGGATTCTAGAACACAAGAGCTGGTTCAGAACGGTCCTCTGTCTGGCCGGGTTCCAGGCCCCTGTTCATCCTGACAGAGCCCCCAGACCACCAGCCGGGACTGCCTGACCAGAGCCCAGAATCCAGGACTCATGTGGGAGCGCACCTCCTCAAATCTTCCCAGGGTCCAGCTGCACCGTGGTTGCAGGGTGGGCCTCCCTCAGGGTGGTCTCTCTAGTCCCAGGGCCCCAGTGCTCAGCCCTACAATTGACCGTCCAGCTTCCTCCCGGATTCCCCACCTCCAATCAGACCTCCCACCTGGAGCCCCAACATGTTCAGAGCACACCCTTTAAATCCCCCTTACACCCCTGTGAGCCATTTTGCCTACAGGAGACTGAAACTCAGAGAGGGTGAGTAACTCAGAGAGTCTGGCCAAGGCCACACAGCCAGGAGGTGGCACATCCAGGCATCTGACTAGAGAGTCCTGCTCCTCTGGAACACCTCCTATGAGGCACAGCCTCCCGAGTATCTCAGGGCCTCCCACAGCCTGCTCCTTCCAGGCCCCAGCGTGGCGCCTCTGCTCATGTGTTCTTCCAAACCAGCCAGTCCTCCTGGACTCACAGGAAGCCCCCCTCCATTGCCTCATATCCCAACTCCCAGAGTGTTCTTTACTGACCTCCCTGACTGGCCCCAGGTGAGTTCAGAGGGCTGGGGCTAGGACCAGGAAGGTGTTGGAGGTGGGGTGTGGGGAGGGCAGGTGGACTGGCTTGGTGGGCTAAAGGATCAGAGTGGGGAGAAGCAGGTTCCTGGAGAGAGAGGGGAGGTGTGGGGTGCCTGGGAGGCAGGGACAGATGTCTAGAGAAGGGCATCCAGTCTGGAGAAAAGAAGTGGAGACTGAATCCAGGGAGACGACCTCAGAACCCAGGAGGGAGGCTGGGAGAGTCCTCCCGGCCTCTGCAAATGCCACCTGCCCTTTAAGGCTGGCTTCTGGTCTGCATCTGGGGACATGGTCACACGTTTTCCAGTATTACCGACATGGTAAGTAAGGCACAGACGGTTGCTCCCTGTGGCCTCTGCCCCGGGACCACACCTAGGAGCCTTGCTGCCTGTCTGGACCACCGTGTAGGTGGGCCAGGGTCCTCCTGGCCCCGCTGTGGGCCAGCCTCTCACCTGTTGGTGGCTCGGATGGAAGTTGGCCTGGACAGCTCCCCTCTGGGGACAGTATCCTCAGGCTCCATAAGTCTCTGGTACCGGTCAAGGATCCTGTTGTCAGCTCGGATCCCAAAGAACTCCTTCTCCTGGTCCTCCATTGCCTGAGGGTTGGGGGCAGCATGGGACCCTCTGCTCCACCTTGGGACCCTCCCCCTTCATCCAAGGCCAACAGTCTGTCCCCTCCAACTCTGGCATGGGGCCACAGGCAACCTCCCCAGACTCCTTCCTGGGACCCACCCAGGCCCCTGTGACCGCTGCACCCAGGCAGGGCCCTCAGCCCACCCACCTTGTAGTGAAAGCCTTGGTTCTCAAGCTCTTCCAGGAACTGCCGCTGCCGCTGGACCTGCCCGGGGTTTCTCTGGGCGCGACGATCGACCACAAGGACATAGTCCCACAACTCAGGGGCCTTGGTCTAGAGGAGAGAGGCGTGGGGCCCGGGGCTGGCAACCAGGGCGGGCCGGGTGCAGGGCATGGGGGAGTGGGACCAAGCCCAGGAGGAGCTCACGCAGGCTCACCTCACAAGTATTCATGTCCATCAGTGGAAGGCTGTCACCTTCAGTCGGCACCAAGATCTGGAGACTCTCTTCTCCCTGAGGGTGAAGCGCAGACGGAACAGAGGCTGGCGCTCGTTGCCACAGTAGAGCGCCTCCCAGGCTGGGTGCTCAGCACCAAAGGGATGGTTTCCGGTGGGGCTACGTGCACACTGAGGCCGCAGCACAAGTGGCTGGCAAAGGTTCGTTTGGAAACACACAAAGAGCACCCCAAATTCATGAGAAAAGGCAGGCAGCCCTGTGAAAATGGGCCAAAGATGCAAATGGACACTTCACAGAAGAGGAGCACCCAGAAGGTGAAAACATGGAACTCCAACGTGGAAACCGTTTGGAAAATGCAGGCTAGGTGACCAAGCAGGCACCACCATCCACCCATTTGGTAGCAAACATTTTACGGTCAGACAGTGTTAACCATCCAGGTATGGGAGCTCCCAGCAGCCCAGTGATTAGGACTCGGCACTCTCACTGCCGGGGCCTGGGTTCAGTCCCTGGTCAGGTAACTGAGACCCTGCAAGCACACTGTGACCAAAAAAGAAAACCTGGGTGATTTATAAAAATATTGAATGTAATATAATACTGTAAATCACCTGAAAATCATATAATATTGAAAATAAGCTATATATGTTAAAAAAAAAAAAAAGCCCAGGTGACTCAGCAGGACCCCCATGTGCTGCTGTTGTACACGCCTTGGTGCCTGAATTTGAGAAACCTCCCAGACCTGTCCCCTGCCCCAGCCACCTTTGGAGTCAGACAAAGGTGCTAGCATATTTCATACCAAAATGGTGAAAATAATCCAAACTCATCCGTTTTCTTCCCAGGTCGCGCTAGTGGTAAAGAATCTACCTGCCAATGCAGGAGACACAGGGGGTGTGGTTTGATTCCTGGGTTAGGAAGACCCGTTAGAAAAGGAAATGGAAACCCACTCCAGTATTCTCGTCTGGGAAATCCCATGGACAGAGGCGCCTAGGGGGCTACAGTCCATGGAGTCGAAAAGAGTCAGACATGACTGAGCGCCTAACACTCTGTCCACTTCTTATCGGCAGGCAGAGGGATGAAAACGTGGTGCTGTGACCACGTCAAGAGGAGCATGAGGGCCTCGGCTGCACGTGCGGCGCTGGGGGTCAGCGTGACACCGCACTGAGCTTCCAAAAAGTACGTCCAGGGAGGCTGTGCCGGAGCGACTGGCACAGGGCAGACAGCCAGGACAGACAGAGGGACACAGGAAGTGGGTGGTGCACAGCTTCTGAGTCTCCCTGACTCTGTTAACTGTGACGGCAGCACTAATAAACGACATGGAGCTTCCCTGGTGGCTCAGATGGTAATCCTCCTGCAGTGCAGGAAACCTGGGTTCAACCCCTGGGTCAGGAAGATCCCCTGGAGAAAAGCATGGCTACCCACTCCAGTATTCGTGCCTGGGAAATCCATGGACAGAAGAGCCTGGTGGGCTATAGTCCATGGGGTGGCAAAGAGTCAGACACTACCAAGTGACTAACACTTTCACTTTCACTAACAAACAACGCATGTCCTTCTATGCTCCTCCCTCCGGGAGGTGAAATCCTCCCTGTTGAGGGTGGCCTGGACTCAGTGACTAACAAAGGAAGTATGAAACAGAAAACGAGTCACGTTACAGAGGAGAGACCTGGCAGAGGCGCCCAACCCAGGAGATGACGGTCCAGGTGATGGCATCAGTAGCACGTGGTCCCGAAAGCCCACAGTCCCATCTCAGCAGGAGGAGATGGCAGAGGGACTTTCACCAGAGCCCCAGCAAGCACACCCTAGAGTCAGGTGGCCAAGGACGAGGGGGACAGAGAGACCGTCACAGACGGGAGGGACCGTGGAGACGCGGCGATGATGCTGTGAGGGGCCTGCATGACACACTCGGAAAAGCTGGTGACGTGAGTCCAGGCCGAGTCAGGCTCTTCACCTGCACCAGCGCCCCAGGCAACGGACATGGCAGGCCCCTGCACTGTCTTTATGACACTTTAGGAAAACTTACAGATTTGCAAAAACTGCACAAGTAGGAGTCACAGGCTTCCCAAGTGGCACAGTGGTAAAGAACCTGCCTGCCAACGCAGGAGACGTGGGCTCCATCCCTGGGTGGGGAGGATCCTCGGGAGTAGGAAATGAGAGCCCGCTCCAGTACTGTTGCCTGGGAAACCCCATGGGCAGAGGAGCCCGGCGGGCTGCAATCCATGGGGCCGCACAGGGTCCGAGAGACTAAGCACACACAGGAGTGGGGGAGCGGAAAGTGCTGGGACTGGCATCCAGGTGGGAGGGGTGTCTTGAGGCCTCACTGATTTCCAAAGAGCAGACAGCAGGCTCAGATGGCTTGAGACAAAGTGACCCAGGGACCCTTCTCTGGAAGAGCCACTGGGCTGAAGGGAGTCAGGGACACAGGAGATGGGGGACCAGGGCAGACAGGCAGGCAGGTCATCAGGGGGAGCCCCAGGGCCGAGGCGGAGGAAAGACACCGCCTCCGGAGCCAAGAGTCTGCAGGTGCTGAGGCGGTATGCCCTCAGGCAAGAGCCTACCTCTCCCAGCCTTGGGGGGCTTGATGCAACGCGGGGAGCATCCTGCAGCCCAGGCAAAGGGCTGGCCAGGCCATGTCCAGTAAGAGGGCCCCCAGCCATGTCCCCGCCAGCAGCACCCCAGGGAGCACAGGGCCCGGAGGGACAGGAAGCCCAGGGTGAGGGCCTGGGGGCACTGAGAGCTGTGTCCACTGGAGCCCCCTGCCTTCCTTGAAGGGCCTGGTGGCTCCCCACCCTACCGTGGGCCCGCCGCCAGCCCACCACCCACTACCTCCCCTGGGCGGCCCTGCCCAGCTCACAAGCCTGCACCCACCCCCACCCCCGTGCATCGCAGCCGCCTGGTGTTCTGCGTCCTGCCCCAGCCCCTGCCCTGCAGCTCCCCCCTCTGCTCCTTCTCCTCCCTGCATTCCTGCCTCCTCCAGAAAGCCTCACTGGACTGCTCCAGCCAGTCTGCCCTTGAGGGCTGCCAGAGAAAACAGAGGCCACCCATCACATTTGAATTTCAGATAAACAATAAATACCATTTAGTATAAGTATGTCCCAATTATTGCATGAGGTGGCCAAAGTATTGGAGTTTCAGCTTCAGCATCAGTCCTTCCAATGAACACCTAGGACTGATCTCCTTTAGGATGGACTGGTTGGATCTCCCTGCAGTTCAAGGAACTCTCAAGAGTCTTCTCCAACACCACAGTTCAAAAGCATCAATTCTTCAGCACTCAGCTTTCTTTATAGTCCACCTCTCACAGCCATACCTGACTACTGGAAAAACCATAGCCTTGACTAGACGGACCTTTGTTGGCAAAGTAATGTCTCTGCTTTTTAATATTAAGTAGTTTGGCCACCTCATGCGAAGAGTTGACTCATTGGAAAAGACCCTGATGCTGGGAGGGATTGGGGGCAGGAGGAGAAGGGGATGACAGAAGTTGATATGACTGGATGGCATCACCAACTCGATGGACATGAGTTTGAGTAAACTCCGGGAATTGGTGATGGACAGGGAGGCCTGGCCTGCTGTGCTTCATGGGGTCGCAAAGAATAACTGAACTGAACTGAATTATTGCATGGGACATAACTTATACTAAAAAAAAATACTGTTGTTTGTGTGAAATTCAGCTTACTGGGGAACTGTTTTTTATTTCATTTCACTAAATCCGGAACTTGATTCCAATTTCGCACCCCCAGACATCCCCGGAACTACTGGGTCCAGAACCAGGCCTGGGTCTGCCCCCTCTCTCCCCTCTGTCTCAGCCACAAAACGGCCGGCTCCGGGGCACGGGATCCCAGGGTCTTCATGCCCCGGTGCAGCCCCCGCCCAGCCCTCTGCCCTGCTTTCCTGGGGAGCGCTCACCCCACTCCACAGGCCTGCCCCCTTCTGCCCCAGCTCCAACCCTGCCCCCTTCTGCCCCAGCTCCAACCCTGCACCACCCCAGCCCTCGAACCGCAGTGGGGTCGGGGCCAGAGGAGAAAGCCGCCTCCTCAGGCTGGTCAGTGTGTGCGTGTGCACTCTGGGCTGAGGCGCCTGTCTCAGAGAAGGGAGTCAGGTCTCACGTAGATGGGGCCAAGGGACGTTGGTGCATTTCTGTCACCAGCAGCCAGTCCTGTGACTTGCCCACTGTAGGAGCGAAGCGTCATGTCGAACAAATTTGTGAGTGAAATGGGTCCTCACGTACTCAACCTCAGACCCAGGAGGAGGGCTATGCTTGCTGGGCCGGGACCCCCTGCGGGATGACACTTTGAGGGTCCCTCACTGACAGGCACACAGAGGCTGAAAAGAGAGGCTCCCTCACATGAGCCTGAGGCTGAAGAGTGGGCAGAACCAGCAGCAGGAAGATGGGGTCCCAGCTGGGGAGACGGGACAGGGCGGGGAGATGGAACTCCAGGGTGGAGAGATGGGGTCCCCAGGGTGGGAAGATGGGGTACCTGGGTAAGGAGTTGGGGTAACTGGGGCGGGGACATGGGACTCCAGGGCGGGAAGATGGGGTACCTGGGTGGAGAGATGGGGTACCTGGGCGGGGAGATGGGACTCCAGGGTGGGAAGATGGGGTACCTGGGTGGGGAGATGGGGTCCCTGGACGGGGAGGGACGGCACAGGGATCCAGACAGGAGGAGGGAGCCTGCGGAGGACCACCCCCAAGGGGCTCCCAAAGGCAGCAGCAGGAGGCTAACCCTCAAATGGCCCCAGAAATGAGGCTGGGGCAGCCCTTTCCCCAGAGACATCACATGACTTTGGGGCATTACCCAGAGCCTCTTGGAAAAGGGGAGTCAGCCTTCCCTGGAGGCTGCTGTGTGACCTGGACCAGAGGGGTCCCACAGGCACTGACCCCATCACTGGAACACAGCCCCGCCCCAGTCATGACCTGGTTGCCCCGGGAAAGGGCCGGCAGGCGCAGGAGCAGCCAGGCCTAAGTCCCTGGCCCCGTCCTGTCGAGCCACCCCGCGCTTGACATCCGAAAGGCTGGTGCCCACACACTCTGTGCCCAGCGGCCCCATCCCCAGGCCACCTGCCTGGGCCCCAGGCTCAGGCTGTCCATTGCCCACCTGTCCTCCAGGGACAGAGGCCTTCACAGATTAGAACCAGTTTCCCCTGAAGTCACCTCCACCTCCAGCCAACCATACTGCTTGGTGCACCTGAGGCGAGGTATCTAGGGGTTCCCTATCCACCAGGCTCCACCTCCAGGAAGCCACATGTGCGCATCAGGCTCCCAGACCCCAGGCAGGATCAGAGGCTCCCTGGGCCCACTTGGCCTTGGGGATCCCAGCCCCACCTCATGCAGGTCCCCAGCAAGTCTGTGCACAGGGACGCGGAGGTTCCAGGCACCCAGCTCTCTGTTGTCTTCCCGTGGGGCTTCCAGCCCCCACTCCCTGCAGGCCACGCACCCAGTGGGCCAGGCCCAGGACTGAGTCCAGGCCAGAGCCCCAGTCAACCCACCCACTGCCTGCTTGACTTCTTTAGAGGCTGCAGCTCCCTGGGAGACCAGACCAGGCGTG